ATGAAATCTACATGCTGTCAGATTTTTTCCCCCATTCTTTTTTTTTTTTTTTAATATTTATTTTTAACGTTATTGTATTTTCCTACTGCACCTGGATTACACGCATTTCTAAAATATGCCCTCTTCGTTAAAAAGATTGTCGACCTGCCTTAGAACATAATAAGGTAACTTAACAGTCAAGAAGCAGCTTCTCCATTGCTGAATCTTGTGAATTACAACAGACGTCGCCTAATGTGATCACGTGTAATTAGGTTATTTTGATGACATTAATTGAATCATAATATTAACCGATGAGAGAAATATCCTTCAAAATATCAAAGGAATTTAGCTAATTTAATGTAAATACAACTAGAAAAAAATAAATACTTACTTTCACAGGATTTAAATTGGGAAAAATGTCATAATTAATTGATAATCTGTATTTATTATACAAAAGTTCATCTATGAACTGTATATGTTCTGATTCTGGAAACTCTGAGCTACCCTAATCTTAAACTTAACAGAGTCTTCTTCATCTCAGCATTTGTAGGAAAGTAACCGATTTTTTATGTTCTTCTTCAGAAAGTTTACCTATGAAATTTGTTTCAGAAAGAGACAATGAGATATTGCATCTACGTTGCTGTGACTTCTTTCACTTGTCTGACAGTAATATCAGAACAAGCCCACGAATTTCACCGTGGCAAGGAGTGCAAGATTGCACCTGTCGTTGGCCTTGAGCCTTGAGCACCATGTAGGTGACAGTACGACTTTCCTCAGTTCTTCCGCCAGTTTTGGTGGAAAGCCCCCCCCGGAGTGGAACGGATCCGAACCGTTCTCTACAGAACCCCCTCTTTCCCTACCACCAGCCTCTCGACAGGAACTTCGACTCACCGCATATTTAGAGTGCCCTATGCCGCACGGACGCTATACATTTACAAACATCCATGCCTTCTCTGGGATTCGAACCCATGTCCTTCGGTACGGCAGTCAACCGTTAGCCGCTTTCACAGCTGGGCGGCTGATACTCTATCTTCTGTAACTGATACTCCGACTTTAGTTTTTTTTCATCAATATCTACCCAGGGTTTAAAGTCCTCACAGTTCATATTAGTTTTAGACGTTCTTAATTCTTCAACTTCCTATATTTGAGCTTATAAAGATCTCCACGAAGGCATCCCTCCTCCTAGGCAAATGGCCCTCGAGTGCTTTCCTCTATTCAACTAACCAAACCTAACCTTATAAAGTGATTAAACTTATTCAAAACTGGAAGGATGAAAGCTGAGCAATGCCTTCGGCGAGATTCGAACTCTGGACCTTCCGACTGCTAGCCGGACGAACCTTCCAGTTACACCACGAAGGTAACCAGTAAGTAGAGAGAAAATTCTTACAAGTTAACCTTTATTCCATAATTTATTAAAATACTGGCATGGTTAATATAGTTCTTTATTGTCTTTACTGACTCCAATACTTAACTATTGTCTTAAATCAAAATAAAGATGCTTGACGACTTTTGCCTTGTTTAGCGATGTGTCTCTATCCTTTGCCAATTCTTATCGTCTATTTCAAACTTAGTTGAATAATTTTATCTTTTATTGTGAGACATTTTAAATTTTGAGTTCAATAAATTTATTCTAGAATATTTTGATAACATTAACCGAGCAGTTGAACATAATTAGCCACGTATTTTCCATGTTTTCAAATACAAATGGGCGTGACTTCCACAGTTCGATAACAATATCCAAATGATAACATTAACCGCGATCACATATGGCGCCTATTTTAGTTACTGACTTCTAAGGATCTAAAATCTGTTGTTTTGTTTTACCTCGTTTTAGGAGGCCTAGCTTAGGGTTCGTGTTTACGAGACTTTTTCGGTCTTATTGACCTACTGTGATGAATTTCGTTTCTAGATTCGTTTTCGTCACCGAGTTGAGTTGCTTAAGTAACTGATTGCTTTTTAATTCCAATTTTATCTTTGTATTCATCACATACTTGTACTGCTATTTTTAATTGATTTCCGCATTTAGGTTGTAGAGGCATTAGGTATTTTTTGGAAACGGGAGTCATGAAAAATGAGTAAGACCCTCGCCGAGAATCGCACCACGGACCTCTGGAATACACGCCCAGCGTGCAGACCACTACACTACGAAGGCATGCTAAGAAGGCGGGAGAACTACCTTATAAGATGTTCAATAGAGTTCCCTCCTGTGTTTTAGTCGCTTTTTTATGTTGTGTATGTGGATGATACTTCTTCCGCAGGTCTAGATACGTAATTTTATATAACTTCAGTTGTGTCTCTTGCTATTCATTTAACAGCTGCTTTTAATCTGAAAACCTGTACTCGTAGCGAGATTAAAAAGTTCATTCCAAGACAAAATTTCGAATTCTGCCTCTTTGACTGTTTCAGTGTTTCTAATATTTTCATGAAAGCTTCCATGATCGGTTGGAAACTTCAGCAGTACCACAAAAGAAGTGCTCACTCCGGAGTACATGCATGTAACGAACAGTTACTACTCGTACCCGTCAACAATACTTGAAGTAAAAACATGGGGATAATTCTGCAGATGTAAGACCTTCCTATTTAAGCGCATGAAGGTAGGAATAATTTTCTCCTTTTATCTAGAGAATAATTCTAAGTTATCGCCAAGTTATCGAGATTTTCAACGATATATTTATATAATCTATAACAAAATTTTGGCGGTATATACAGTGTCTCACAAAAGTGATGGGACACTTGTGCTTTGCAAATGGAAACTGTAATAAAATAAATTAAAAAACACGTAAACATTTTTTGTGGGTGTGTTTCATACTTAAATTTAGTAACAATTATTACATAACATACATTTTCTAAAAATCTTTATCTTTATCTTTTCTTTGTAATATTAAAATATTAATTTAATAAAAATACAATTGTTTAGAACGGAGCAAAAAATGGCTCACATAAGTGATGGGACACCATTAGATACTACTACGTACTACAATAAAATATTTTTGTGGTTTTTATTTTTACTCAAAAGCAATTGGCAATAATTTATAAAATCGTCTGCAGTATTTCTCTCTAGTTTGTTTTGGAATTTTTTTGTTTTTTTAGCTCTGTGCAGCCATGAATGCTAAACGAAAAGAAACTTTGCCTGATTTTCGAAAATTAGTTATTAATTTGCATATTGAACGTGGAAAATCTATTAGAGAAACTGCTGAAACAGTTAACTGATCATCAACATTTCAATATCATTAAACGATTTAAAAAGAATCATATGATTCAGGATAAAAGAAGACCTGGCCGACCATCAAAGCTATCCAATGGAATGAAGCGAATTATCGTTCCAAATATTAAAAAAAATCCAAGAATCAGTGCTCCTAAAGTTGCTGCTGATTTACGAGAATTATATAGAGTAATTGTTAATCCTGAGACTATTAGAAGAGTAATTCGATCTGCTGGATATCTCGGTAGAGCAGCCAGGAAAAAATTCTTCGTAAGTGAAAAGAATAGAAAACTCAGACTGGCTTTCGCAAAATCCAACATAAATAAGAATTCTGATTACTGGAATGAAGTTATATTTGCTGATGAGAATAAAATTTAATATATTTGGTTCTGACGGTAGAATCTTGGTTGGAAGAAACCCAGGAAAAATTTCGCAAACAGAACTTGGTTGCCACAGTAAAACATGGTGGAGGAGGAGTATGGTGGGGGTGTATGTCGTCCGCTGGTGTTGGTCTTGTTTTTATTGACAGTATAATGGATCGGCACAAGTATGTTAACATTTTAAATCAAAATTTGAAATCTTCGGCACGAAAATTGAACCATCGTAACGATTTTAAATTCTACCAGGGCAATGACTCCAAGCACACTGCTTTGAACGTTAGAGTCTGGCTGCTGTATAACTCTCCTGGAAATAATAAAAACACCACCACAATCTCCAGACTTAAATCACATAGAAAATATTTGGCAAAGAATTGGAATCAAGAATTCGCAAACACAACCATTTCTTCAAAACAACAATTAAATCGGTGCTTAAGAAGAATGGGGTAAAATCATTCCAGAAACACAAAAAATTAGTCGAACCATTCCAAGAAGATTAAATCATGTTTAAAAAAGTAAAAGGATATCCAACAAAATATAAAACCTTTTAAAAAGTAAAATTTTTTGGATAAATGGAAAAGTAAGTGTCCCATCACTTATGTGAGCCATTTTTGCTCCGTTCCAAACAATTGTATTTTTATTAAATTATTATTTTAATATTTTGAGAAAATGTATTATGTAATAATTGTTACTAAATTTAGTATGAACACACACAAAAAATTTTTACATGTTTTTTTAATTTATTTTACTACAGTTTCCTTTTGTAAAGGACAAGTGTCCCATCACTTTTGTGAGACACTGTACTTCTAAATATTTTTGCGATTATAAGATCATTTTGTCTATAAAATTTTTGATTCTGTGATTTGTGACTTTAATGACGACTTTTCTTAGAACCAAAACTACCTAAATTGTATTGGATCATGCCTTTCTTTTAAAGGCTAAGCACATTCAATCTCTCTAACTCAAAGAGTATACATTTTAAGACGGCGTTCTAATAGAAAATGATTCGTTTTTGCGTTTTGTATAGAAGAAATAATGTCAATTAGATCGAAAAAATTCAACAGTACTATCGAAAAGCAATTTTTCTGCTTCCTATAACAAGCATTTTCCTATATCTTCTGTATGTTCTATATCTATTTATTTTAGTAATATAGTCATATTTTGTAATAAGTTTCAGAGAATAATTCCTAGAAATGAGTCAAAGAGTCTGTTCAAGTATTCAGTCAATATTACGAACTCAAGATTTAAGATTCTTATGTAATGCATATTACAAGTGCATTTAAAACATGGTAATTCTGCTTTGTAACTTCAAAAACAAAGTTAGAGAAAAATTTTAAGAATTACAACGAAACACAAAATATGAATAAAAGAAAAAAATATCCAGGGAAAGGAAGTTATTTATAATCAAATTTTTCAAATATTGAATTCTCCTCTAACTCATACTAGATGAGCTTTTTATACATAAAAAACTTTTTCAACTGTCTCATTTGCCACCAAGTTGTAGCAGTTAACAAACAAAATTGAAAAACAGAAAAATAAACCAGACGGTTATTTGAGCTTATACTGGTTTCTCTAAACTGGACCTCTCTTTGCCGTTGATAAGCCTGTTCTTTGAGAATATCGTCAGTCTTCTCAATCAGCTGTCGAACTTGTAATTCTAAATCATTTAGTTTTTCAGTTCTTCCGATTTTCTGAAAATCAATAGCTTTTTCTCCAGACACTATCTTGATATGAAATCTCAACTCTCTCTCAACTTCAGTGTCTAATTTCTGCATGTATATTGATAAATGATGCTCACCAGAAATAGTAGAATGGAATACAATTTTTCCTTTTCCTCCATAATGCTTGGCAAGTATTAACTCTCCAGCAGGGTTATGAATTTCGATATATGCACAAGATCCAGGAAAGGAAAGTAAATATACACTGGTATCTTTATTTAAAAATTCACACTTGTAGTTGATTACGACTAGTGTCTCTTCTGGCACATCTTCAATAAAGTTCATCTGTTCATGCGCGAGGAGGTCAAAGTACAAACCGCAAGTTATATTACAGAACAGAATAATAAATATGCAGTGCATAATACACATATTGCAAAAAGAAACTATTAAAAATAATTATTTCAATGAGATTAATAAAAAGGCTAAATCATATCATTCTTTATTAACGGCATTCCATAACTGTCGTTGCCAATATACTTTTGATTAAGATTACAGCTCGCTTTATAATGAATGAAAAAATAATCAGCATTCATACTTTCTGGAACTAAATAAAAATTTCACAAATGGTTAAAATATTTATTTTGTAAGCATTATGCTCAGTATTATATTACATATTCACAGATTTTTGAATCGTGTAATTAATTTTCCTTCCATATTTATTAAACGATTTATTTTAAAGCGTGCGTAGCAGACGATTTCAGTCGCATAGTAACAGTAATATGTTTAAATTTGGGAGATTCTGGAAGATATTTTTATTTCTTACAGACGTTTAAAAATTGAGAAAATCTTAAGTTTATATTAAGGAGAGAAAAAATTTAATTTAAAAAAAAAAAAAAAAAACTGAAATGTTTCAGATTTTAAATTACGTCCAAAGGGGCGTTTTTTTAACGTTTTGAGTGTTACCTTTATTATTAAAATCATGTTCTTTGCACTTAAACCATAAAATTCAGTTCAAGAGCAATATCGCAAAATAATGTTAAATTAAGCATATCTTTAGAATTTTCGATATACACAGTCTCGCGAGCTGGAGATTAAAGTATTTTTTTTCTATATAACGTTGCCATTTCTCGCTTTTAAAGCATTGAGTTTGTAAATCAAAATTCGTTAAAGTTTTACAAAAATATAAAATCTATAATAAAACAAATTCCAAATTTGGGATTTCAGATGCCCATATTCGCAGTAGGATTTCGTCATTCAAAATTCGATGGCTCTATGTACCATTGTTTTATCACAATGCGAGAAATAGACAATCATTTATGCAGATTTTTCATTATTTAATTTCTTCAAATATAATGCAGGACTCTAACATTTTGTGGCAACAGTTTGAAAAGTGAACCGACGTTTATGAGTCCGACGCAAAATCGCAAAACGAAAACAATAGTCCTTCAGGGACAAAGCCCCTTTGGACTAATTATATAAAAATCATTGGATGGAATTATTCCGTTAGAGCAGAGCCCGTTAAAAATGCGCCGCTTTTTATTCAAAGGGGCAATTTGCTCTGAAGGACTATTATTTTCGTTTTGGTATTTTGCGTCGAAAATTTTAAAAGGCTGTATCACTTTTCAAATCGTTGCCGCCACCATATATTATCGCCCTGTCCTATTTAAAGAAATTAAATAATGAGGGATTTGCATAAATGTATGTATGTTTCTTGCATTGTGATAAAACAACGGTACCTAGAGCCATCAAAATTTGAATAACGTAATCTTCCATAGAATACGAGCATGTGAAAGCCTTAATTTGAATTTGAAATTTGTTTTATTACCGATTTTAGATTTTGTAACCCTTCAACGAATTTTTGATTAAAAGCCTAAACAATTTCAAAGCGAACAATGGCAAAACTGTGCGAGAAAAAAAAAATTATCTCCAGCGCGCGAGACTCTGTATGGGAAATTCTAAAGATACTATGCTCATTTTAAAATTAATTTGCGATATTGCTGTTGAACTGAATTTTATAGTTTGAGTATATAGAACATGAGCATAATGCTTACATAATATTGAGCATAATGCTTATTTAATAAATAAAGGTTACACAAAACGTTAAAAAAACGCTCCTTTGAACGTAATTTAAAATCTGAAACCTTTCACATTTTTTTGTCCCTTTTTTCTCGGGGGGGGGCTACCAATTGTAGCTAAGCGTAAAATTATGAAATAATAATAGAGTTCAAAATACTAAAAAAATAGTTCCGTAAAAAGTAAACTTTTTTTTAATCCCCCTAAAGAAAGCAAATTTTTCTTTTTAATTTTTTAATCTACAATATTCTGTACATAAATAAAAAAAATAACAAAACAAAAGAAATTCAATCTAAACAGGTGGCATAAAATTACAAATATCATTCAATATTGCAGAAAAAAATTCAGTTTTTGAATATAACCGACGCCACATAAATTATATCAAATATGACTCTAAATGGTTGCGACGTTTATTTCTCCATTTAGCACTGCCCTACAATCGCTCCATAGTTTGGATATGGCATCCAGTTTCGGGGTCTATAAAATTCTAACTGTGATTTACGGTAAAATGTTCATATCCAGCATTTCGTAATTTCTCTTTCTTAAATCCTTTCCAGCAGTCTGAAAATATAATGCTGCCATCCGTGATGTTTTCCTGAACAGTAGTCACCAGTGTTATAGCACAACGATTAGGAACGGTGACAAAATATTCCTTGCTTTCCCGGCATAAACCCTAGATACCGATTATCCTTTAAGGACACGTCCAATTTTTTTTTTTTTTTTTTTTTTTTTTTTGTAAAGACTTTAAAGTAGCTATTAAAATTTGTTGTCGTACTATGGCTGATTTCTAACGGAAGTTAGCAAACTTCTATCGATGTCAATTTTTTTTTCACTGTAAGAACGTACGTAACAACGCCATATAGGAGCTCTGTTTGAGTTTAAAGTTAACTTCATCGTATGATTTTTGAGAGCGAAGTCTATTGCTAGGAATTTATTCCTTTGTCCTGAAAGAATTTTATGACAGCCTCTTCGTCATTAGGTAATTGCCAAATTGTGTAATCCATCGCACTAAAAAAAATGGCGAAATATGATGAAAAAATAACGAGTGTTGATATTTCAAACGTTAAATTCTCGAGCCACGATATTTGGCTTGTTGTTGTAGCATTGTTTTCATCTCATTTTTACTTCCTTGTACGAAGTAAAAAGGAAGTACTGTAATTGCGATGTTTCAGGCAGCATATTTCAACGAAAATATCTATTTTGACTGCTATCGAATGCAATTTAACGATGTTTTTGCGTGATATGTACGAAGAACGAATAAAGACTCGTTCCTCTAAAAAAATTATGAAAAGCGCAGAATAGGCCTGCATCAACAAAGTCATAGGAGCGTGTGACGTCCATAAATGGGTGGGAATAAGCTTATGACGTCCAATGTACTCCATGGACCTTATAATAAATAGACTAACCCAGTGGGCGGGGCGTGCGTCACACACATGTCGGAACAGCGAGTAGAGACGATTTTAGTTTATCGTAAATTGAAACATACGGCATTTGTATCACATAACTCTTTTAATTATTAAATGTGATACGTTGATAAATGATGAGATAATAAAAATCACGTTTTCCTAATAAGATTTTTATATCTCATGAACCACTTTTTAGTGCATTTGAGTTATTTTTTTACTGCATTAGCGTAATTTTCTAAACTCATTATTCTTGATAAAACGGTAAAAACTCTAAACAAAAAAATTTATGAATTTTACTTTGCCTACAATAAAGTAAATTAAGTAAGATTGATAGTACATGATGCTATGAAACAAATAAGGTAAAATTAACAAGATTTGTAATTTTTTTTTTTTAATTTATGACATTTTCAGGCAGTAGAGCAAATATTTTCATTTCAATGTTATAGAAACCAAGGATTGCTTTATTATTTTTTCTTTTCAAAATTATTATGGTATTAAAGATATCATTTATGACAATATAATAACTCATAAATTCGGAGCATAACTTTAATGAGTGTAATGAAAATTTTAAAAAAAATTCTCAGTAAAAAAAAATCTTATGCGGAATAGCAAAATTAAAAAACTAATTCTATAAAATACAAGATAGTATATGTCCATCTTAAATTTTATTAATGCTCCTAAAGTAACCTTGTAATTTTATATACTTTAAGCAAAGACTATACATCCAAAAATACATATGTATGAAAGAAACATTTAGATATTTGTTGTTTGAAAATTCGCTTACTTCACTTTTTATTCAAATATTTATGAAAACAAGATATCTTAATAAATACACACACCTATCTCTATATATTTCGAGAGAGACGAAGAGAAACAGATCTTGGTTTATTGATCTTAAATAAAATTACTTTAGTAAATCTGCTTCTTTTTTCTTTCTGTTTTATTCATTGAACCCCTGCAACTGGAGCATTCTGATTTTTAAATATTCAAATATCCTGCTTTAAGGAATTTAATCAGGGTTTTTATCTGGCTCAACATCATAATATGGTCTTGAAGAGAAGGAAATATATGTGTTCCTACGCTTTTTAAGACTTTTAGAGTCATGAAATTTATATTTTTTTTTTATACAATTTAAACTCCTTTTGTCTGCCTAAAATTATTCTGCATTTTTGCAGATCATTCGGCGTCACTGGAAGTCAAACCTTTACATCCAGATTTAATATTTGAAACCTAGCAAACATCATATGGCTCGTTGAAACTAAAGCTGAGAAACAGATATTACTTTTACTTTATAAGCTAAGCTTTTACAACAAAACCAGCTATATAAGATGTATACTTTTCGTTCTTAAATATCTTATTTTTGATTAGTTATAATGCTAGGAATTAAATTACCTATAATTAAAAAAGCAGCAAAAAATTATAAATTTTAAAGAAACTTTCAAAAATTCATTTTTAGGCATTTTAGTATTAGCTATAGTTTAGTATTAGTTATAGTTTTTAGTAATTGTAGAAAAATTACTTGGTGAATTTTTCTCTTAGTTCAGATTTAAAATATTATTTCTAAAAGAAGAAGTTACATTCGTTACATCATAGGAAAAAGCTAAAAAATATTACAAGCTTGAAAGCATGCAACAGCTTTATAATTTTTTAGAACGTTAATTATGCTTGAAAACCATGCTAATATTTAAAAGCAATCTCAGTGTCAAAAATAAAATATTTAAAAATCTTACTTGTGAAATGAGGCACACCACCAGCTTTTTCGTGACAATTGTACGCGCTGCAAAGCCAAACATTGCTAATTTCTGGAGTCGTCCCTTCTCCTCCGGATGGATCAAGGTGACAGCCGGGACGCGCCAGACAAGGAGA